AAGTTGCAGCACTTCATTATTATTATTATTATTATTTTAATTATTAAAATTATTAATAAAAATTTGAGAAAAAGTAATTATTACGTTAAAATCCAGTTAGTTATCGAAATTAATTAATATAATTATAAATATACTATCAAATTAAATCTCATTATTACAAAACCACAAATAGGATTAATAATATTTATTTTAGTAAATGGGTTTTACATAAGTTAAAAATAGTTGAAAGTAACCAAAAAAAAGAAAGAAAACTCCAAATATCTCTCTTATTAGTATTTCCTTTAGATTTATCTATAGAAAAAATAATATTAATTAAATTGGAATTATTTTATAAAAGAATTAATTATTTTTTTAATGTTTTGATTAAAAATTCATATTTATGTCTTTTTATAAAGTATGAACATAGCATATTTAGTTTCATTCTGTTGTATTTTAAGCCAATAAAACAAAGAAATTCATTCTGAAATGTATTACTTATAAAAATGTTCTCTTTTTTTCTGTATTAAAAAAAAAACATAAAAACAATTAAATTTAAAAATAACCAATTACCAACGTTCTTACATAACAATTATTCCAGTAAATAAACATATGACTTAACCTTTAAAAAAAATGTCTAAATCTTTAAAAAGATAATTACATTTTAAATTAGGTTATACTGTATTTTAATTATTATACCGTTTAATTAACAGTTTAAGTCATTATAAATGCTTATTTAAACAGTTATGAAGTAATAATTATTTCATAAATATGTATAATATAATATAAAGTCTTTGCAATTTTAAAATATATTTTAAATGCCGTCCGAATGGACTAAAACAACAGCAAACTCGATTATCCGTAATCGAATCAGGNAACGAATACGAATGGACCCTAGACCATTGCTGACTGATTGCCCCTGGAAGTCGGCTTCTTATAGAAACACAGCTTCCCTATCATCAAATGTCACGGCACGCCACTGGTTTTTAGGTATTCGGTATTCGGCCGAATAGTGATTAAATATTCGGTATTAGGTCGAATAGTGAAAAATAGGCCGAATACCGAATAGTAACCGAATATTCGTTACATCACTAGTCTGTATTCTTAAAGGTTCTGTATATGGTTATATACAGAAATTATAAGCTCAATAATATATTCTCCAAATGTACAGAAAAACTTAATAAAGATTAAATGTTTGTGTTTTCAAGAGAAAATATAGAATATATCAATTAATACACTGATTATATCAATATATGCAATAAATGCTATTCATCAGTGGCGAATCCAAGTGGAGAGCTACCCTCCATTAAGCCTCATTGACTCTGACGGCCGGATGGCCGAGCGGTCAAGGTGGTAGTCTAGCGCTCTGGGGGACCCGGGTTCGAATTCGGATAAATCCGGACGATAAATACCCAGAAATTTTTAAGGGGTTGATGTATAGCTTTAAACGTATCGGGTGTAGTTAGTGTTACCACCCGTCCGGTTTTCACCCGGACAGTCCGGGAATTGACTCACTGTCCGGGTGAACTATTAATTTTGTCCGGGAATTTCGTAAAAATTGTGAAATTACGATGAAACAAAGTTCTTGCAAATATTTTTACAAATTTATACTATTTTAACAGCGAAAGAACTCACACTCACTGAAACTCATCTGCAATTTTTGCCATGTCAGTCTGTTTATTCCGACGTGTAGCGCGCGACCTGTCAACCTTTCCCCCCTTAATAAATTTTATAAATGTAATTTAACAGCATATTTTAGCTTCATAAAATTCAGTCTAATATACAGAGCTAAATAGCTGTTCTTTCTTAATTTATGTTACTTACGTTACTCCTACGCAAGTCCCTAGTCCCTAACTCTAACTGATTTACAACCGGCATGCACGTTATTCTTCGTATTGTAAAAAAATGATATTACGCAAGCGTCAGGAACTCCTATTCGAACAAACCTGACCTGCCGTCCGAGTCAGCGATTTTGAAAAGGTGGCAACACTAGGTGTAGTAAGGGATGTTTGATTATTATACAGTACAGTATATTATTTTGATTTTTATGAAAGGAAAAACATATATATTTTGTATTTTGTAATTTTATTTTTTACAAACTATTTGTCAGATCGTTCAACGGAGGGACTCAACGGAAAATTCACTGTTGAGTCAACCGTTGAATATAGAAACGTATGGTATTATACAGTACAGTATATTATTTTGATTTTTATGAAAGGAAAAACATATATATT